TATATATATATTAATATGGAAGGTCGACCAATGGCCATGACAAAGGCTGTCGCGACATCCTAGCAATGAGGGGCAGCAAATTTTTCTTTTTGTAAATATTGTTTTCGTTTTTTTTTTCAAACATGTTTTTCTTTTTATGATTTTCAATATCTCATCTGAAAACAGGTAGTAGAAAAATTTGTAAAGAAGTTTTAAAAATTAAATACAAAACCATTTCCAACAGACCCTACACTTTCTTATCACTTAGACCAACAAATGTAAATATAAAAGTAATTGCAAAGAAGAAGAAAAGAAAAACTTTTATTTTCTAAAATAGAAATTTATCTCGCGATGATGATTCAGAAAAACCATCAAAGAACAATAATAAAAATAAATGCAACCTAACATAACTATACAAATACCATCGTAAACTATTTACCAATTAAAAATTAAGGTAAAATAAAATCCGTATCTCAATCCTGAAAAGGATGATAGGTGTAGCCACAACAACAACATACCTCCTACACGGTCTGTTGCCAAATTTTAGAAAATTTTTTAAAATAATTAATTCTAGCTCATTATTAATATTAATATAGGCTATATTATATTTTTATCTCTTTATTTTCAAGATTCAATTTCATCTCACTGGCTTTAAATGGTTTAATTTGGTTTTCTAATTTGTTAAGGATGTTTATTGTTATCCTTTCGTTTAAATTGACAAGTTAATAAAATCAAACAAAAAGATAAAATTAAATATCATTTAAAAATTAGTGGAACCAAATTGAATGTTCCATAAATTAAATATCATTAACAATACTAAAATGAATCTTAAAAATAAATAAAAGAACTAAAAATATAATTTAACCTATTAATATATATATATATAACAAATAATATTATTACTAGAATTTATTTAAACTAAATTTATACTTTTATAATATCTAATTTAATACATTTTTTTTTCCAATTCTTAATTTCATAATTTTAGCACCTCAATATAGTGAAATTTACAATTTTAATCTAATGTTCAACCATTAAATGTTAAATTTACAAGATTAAACGATATGACATTAAATAAATATTGTGACGATTGACATTTAATAATATTTAAAATAAATTACATTTTCAATTCTTTTCTTAATAAAAATTAAAACTACAATTCATCTAAAATATTACACTAAAAGAAAATACGATTAATACAAGGATGAGGCTCAATTCAGAATATGAACCATAAAAGAAAATATCAATTAAACCGATCACAAAGCATCAGTTACATCACATTATTCAAAGAGGAATTCTTCCCGTAGAATTGCTATTAGCCACTTATTCTACTTTCCTCCACATTTAATCAAGTGGTAAGTTATGCTAAAGACAGATAGTTGTAGATAATTATGAAATATATTCATAATATCCTTCTAAATGGAATAAAATAGTTTATCTATAGATAGATATTACTTATTTACCAAATTGAAGATAGAATATTATAAGAGGACTGAAAATACAATATAGTATTTTATTTAAATAAAATTCGCAGAAATTATTATCTAACTTTGTTATGCAACCCATTTATTTAAAGTTTTAAAAAGAATTGAAAACTTCTTTCTTAATAACCCCTGCAAAAGTACAACCATGGCTGACCAGCATATGATGATCCTCAAAGCAGAGACACAACGTCAACATAGAAAACTTTGGAACAAAAAAGCCATAGTCAGAACCATGCTTTTCTTTTTCTTGTTTGCTCTTACCTTTGCTTGTGTGTGTAAACACTAAACAGCGCTAATTCTACAAAGTAATGAAAAAAGCCTTTAACACGGAAATTTACTATGTGAGCATCTATCTAGTATCTACAAGCTATCTTATTACCTGATAGCCCAGAAAGACCCTTTTACCATTTCCATTTCCATAGGGCGTTAGCAAAGGAAACTAATAACCCCACAAAGTTTATATCAGGTATTGTGTCCATCTATTTCATCAGAAACGTGCTTTTGAGGATATTCAGACTTGGTCACGTGAGCATAAGATAGATCAGCAGCAGGTTCACGTTCTATAGATACAGCAGGATCCTTCACAGTCATAACCAGTTCATATAAAACAGTCCTTCGTGTGATCCAAGCCAAGCACCGATAGAAGAGTCATGCTTGTATTGGGTTTCCTCTTCTGCTATGAAACCTATACGGCCAAATAATACACTTAAAATTAGCAACCAGGGGACAACCAAAATATAGAATTTATAAAATTGATAGCAGCAAAGCTGAAAGCATATCGTGCTCACTATTTCTACATGTTTTATAGCACACAGCGGAGAGAACTGAATCAGAGAACTTGTCCTCAAAAAGAAGTTCACCAGACTTGATACTCCATAACCGTAGTTTGCAATCCTCTCCACCTGAGATGACAAAGACAATTTTCAGACTATAAGATGCTGAATAAAATAACTTCATTGAAAACACCCACCTGACATAACAAATCTCTCAGTTGGATCAACACCCATCTGTATACGAGTATGAGAATTCACATGCCCTTCGTAATATTGAACAGCACCCCTCTGGAGTAGACGATGATCATAAAGCCTCATCTAAAAACCAAAAGAACAGATTATTAAGTAAATTCTCTCGTGATATGCAGTTTGCAAGAAACGGTGGTTACCAAGAGAATTTAGGTAATAGTTTCCTTCATTATCTTGTGAGTTCTGCTAACATATAATGCCTTCATTGATCATTATATCAATCACTATATTTATCTAGGTGATGCAAAGCCTAGAGGATAAAGTAAAGATAATCTTCCATGAAAAAATAATTCAATTAAACAGGATCAGCTACATTTAGCATGTGTACATAAATACAACTAATTTCTTTTCAATTAAAATATAAGGAATAAATTTATGCAAGAGCCTAATCATGAGATGCGGCTGCGAATTTCGGAATTCTATGCCATGTAAGAGCAGGCATAAATGATGTAGGTTATAGGTAACAATTTTCCTGAAGAGTAAACTAACCGATCCATCCATTGAGCTTGCCAAGAAGTATTGCTCATCCTGAAGTGACACCAAACTAGAGTGGAACCACAAAATAAATTACAGAAAATAGTAACTCAAAAACAATGATATTCAAATGAAGATAAGTCAAGTAGACAACTGGCAGGGAAAAGGATGACTAACGAGGATATTGATGAAGGCATCCTAATCGTATGAGAAGGATTTATGTCTCCTTTGAGCTGCATAAGGGTGAAGCATATGCATGTCAACAATAGATAAAGTTACTAGTGTAATGACAATCATAAAGTGAATCATCAGCCAGTGAAGAACAGACTGCGACCATAGCACAAGAAAAAAATGAGTTTCATCAAATCAGAAATTTATACAGGGGCTTGAACAGATTTTCTTACAGTTTTTCCCTGTCATTTTAAAATCAAGGTTTACAGTGGTGTATATATTCTGAATCTCTACAATATTTTATTATGCTATATTTTGCTTGTTTGTTGAAATCTTCTCTCTCTAAACTCTCCTAAATTCTAATTTCCAAAACGAGGAAAATACCTTGAACCATTCTTTATTAGAACCTCCAACTTTCTTATCTGAAGATGTATAAGGTATCCGATGGGTAATAAGTCTACCAGAAAGCCTTTCTCTTTTCTCACGAAAATCTACAGTGACAATTGCCCCATTTCTGAGCCCACATAAAATCACATTTCCCTGCAATATCAATTATGTCATGGTGGTTTTGTAGGGAA